CACACGCTATAAATCACAGCGATTCACACACTTTACTTACGGTGCCTACTGTTCACTTGACTCAATTATCTATCTCTTCCCTTGGGCTAGTTTTTCTAGCAAGGCTTATATACTAAAAAAGAGGGCGCCAGCAAACACTCGGACATTCGCGGAGTTCCTCGATAATTCATTATCCTTCTAGAAACTCCAGCGCGCATGCTCCCAGGGTCGCGTGACTTCCGCTGTCGTAACACCTAGTAGCTTTGCCCTAAATACGAAATACAGATATCCTTTTCAATAATATCTGAAATTTTAAAATTCATAATAAAATATGTCTATTATTTAGATTAGGATTATCAATAATAAAAAATGAGAAATAGCATAATTAGTAAGAAAGAAACAATTATTTTTATTATTAAGTGGTTGTTAAGACTTTAGACTTACCACTGAGTCACTGGGGAGCGTCTTCTCTATGTAGAAAAGTTTATGCAGAATAAGATAAGATTATTAGATCAAGATTAAACCAATATAAATCACGTGTGAGAAATTATTTTAAAAGCCTTCTTGAATGTTCTAAACATTTTAAACCTATGTTTTAAAACCTATCCTCTTTTAAGAGGATACATTTTTAAGGGAAAATATGGTTGTCTTGATTTTTTTTTTTCATTTTCGAAATGTAAAACCTTGACAAAAGGCTGAATTATGAAAAAATAATTAAATCAAACTGAACATCGATAATGTTTCTGTTATTAATTATTTTGAATTAAATTACAGGTCAGTTAGTCTTACGTCTGAAGTGGGAAACATTCTAGAGATTCTGGTAAAAAATTTGCAAAATTTCAGCGAAATATGTTAACATAAAATAAATCAACATGAATTTACTTGAGGAGAATCTACGATTCTTACCTTACCAATCCGCTCGTTTTTCTGAGAGTTGTTTGTTACTTAGTCTGTTACTGGACAATGGCAAAGATGTGGACTTGATGTGCTCAGATTTTCAAAAAGCTTTTAATAAGGTACCACATACAGGAAAAGCAAGAAAATAAAATCTGTAGGGGTTGTGGAAAACAATAGTTAATTGGGCAGTAAGGTAGTTGAATGAGAGAAAGCAAAAGGTTGTTATTAATAGAGTGCAATAAAATTGGATCATTGTTATTAGTGTAGTATCTAAGGGGGCAGTGCTTGGGACTATGTTTTTATCATTTAAATTAATGATATTGAGATGACCATAATTGATAAATCAGTAAAGTTTGGTGATGACATTACTGTTACGACAGCGGAAGTCACGTGACGCTGGTAACACGTCATGAGATTCTCGAAGGATCTTAATTTTTCCTGGCAACTCTAGTCTTTTCTAGGCGCCTTCTTTTTTTGTATATAAGCCCGACAAATAAAGCGAGATAATTAACTGCAGATAGATAGATTGAAGATATAGAGACAGATAATTGAGTCAAGCGAGCGGTAGTGACCGGAAGTAAAGTGCGTGAATTGTTGTGAATTATAGCGTGTGTTTAAGTTAAATTGACTGTGGAAATTCTGTGTATTGCTAAGTTGTGATGAGAAAAAATAAACTAGTTTTATTTAAGAAAGGACTT